GAACACGCTGCGGGACATGGGACAAATTATTAAAAATCATGACTGTCCCGCCCAAAGCGGGACGTCTGGTCACCTTAATTATATTTGGGGCTTCGATTTTCTGTTTTATGTACAACAAATTGCTAGAACTGTCAGTGTTTGTCATAATAAACGTGCTATCTAATGCATGTTTATAATGATTTCAAGAAAAGCAAATAAAATAACAAAAATAAAATGAATGAAAACTTAGGCCAAAGATTGGTATCAGTGGTATCAGAAAAGGCCAACCTACATTTTTTTACATTAATCTTTAGAGAAATAGATTTTTAAAAGCAAACTACTTTCTGTAGTTCAAATGTGAAATGATTTCCAAACGTCCTATTTTACAATGTTTTAACCAAAACCCCAAATAGCTTAAAGCTTTTCTATAAAAATTAGCCTTTCACCTATTTGTGAAGCCATTATCTTTGCTTTGCCTAATTTCAAGCTTTCAAATATATTTTATTAATAATTTTACAACTGGAATCACCCTAAAATGAAGTGTTTTGCCTTAGTATATTGCATCTACCCCCACACAGTATTTTAGAAAACTTCCTTGCATCATACACAAGCATGTTGGTAAAGTGTTCAATATTCCTACATTTTTTAAAGAGGGGGTGGAGGGGTCTAGGGGATGGACAGTGTTAAATATTGAGCATATTGTTTTAGGCACATTTCTGGAGTATATTTTCCTAATGATAAATGGAAAATAGATACAAAATATAATGAACATAAATAATAAGGAACTGTATGCTAAGCATTATAGCTTTCAGTGGAAATATTTTTGGTTAGTTTTTGTTTTATTTTGTTTAAACAACTTGCAGAGAGATTGCTGTTGATGCTGTTGTTGTATTCCAGCAGGTTTAATAGGCATTGTATAGAATGAGTTTTATTCATTAAAATATTATTGGAATTTGAACTTAATATCAACTAACAACCATCTTTCTTAGTTTGTTAATTCTCTTAACATTTTTTAAAATAAAAATTGGATAATTGGGAACCTCCTATAGTTGTATACAAGGTAACTTAAGATATGTTCTTCAAAAAAGTATTATAAATAACTGTATGATAAAAACTCAATGTATAAAATACAAAATTACTAGTGCAATTTGGGAAGGATGGTTATTCATCTCAATATGTTTTCTCCTAATAAATATACTGTACATTCAAATTAGGAATTATCCCTGGTTATTGTGAATACTTGGGCATAGTTTGTTTAAAAATGGATGCTTAAAGGAATGTATATTGAATTACACTGTGTGCCTTGACACAGATGACAACGATCAAAGAAATAATAATTATGCAGATCACTTCCAGCAGTGTTTTCTCCTTACTGTGAGTTCCATATCTTCCTCTTCTTTTTCTTTTACTGTTTTTTCTGGCTCTTCCGGCTCTTTTTCTTGCAATTGGATCTCTTGAGCCTGAGACATGTAAGGCATATCATCTTTGTTTTTGAACTCCAAGCTGAGAATTGAAGGAGGAAGTAGAATTCCTAGAATTACCTAAATCAATAATAATGATAACAATCATCACAATCATCACAATTATGGTTATTGCCAGTTTCTCTTTTTGTTTATTATTACACATGCACTTTATGCATCTAGGAATGAGACATTTGGGCATATTAGTTTTAACATTGTGCAACTATTTTGTAGGCAATGGTAAGAATGAAATCACTAATTGATTTAATACTCTATAAAGTTTTGGTCCTTAAAGATTTAAAATGAGTTGGCCATCCACCTTTCTGAAATGCAAAGAGATATGGCTGTTCTCCATTTTTAGAAACAGTCAATTCTTTATATTTATATGCTGATTTAACATATAAACTTTTCCATAAGTTTCACTCTTAAAATAATCCTGACCTTTAGACTTGAGTTTTTGCGCATCCGAAGCCTCCCCATCCACATATCTGTGAGTAGCATTTGGCTACAGGTGTGTGCAATGAAATCTCGATGCTTGGCTGCCACTGCAAGTTGCAGGCAAGTGGCATTGCTCCAGTTCTTCAACTCATATGTCAGCAGTTTCATAGCCAGCTGTTCATCCTGCTTGTAGGATTGGTCTAGCAGCTCCACTGCCAGCTGGCCAAAATCTCTGCAAGAAAAGGCATTTTTTTTAAAGCTTGTGAATCTGTTACTGTTTGTGGCATCTAAACAATTGTTAACAGCTACTTATGCAGGGAATGCATCACAGCCTGGCATGTTTGGCTAAGATCCTGAGAGCACTTGCAGATATTGTGCTTCAGATCAGACCCCATATTAAATCACTTCGTTTCAATTTTGCTAGGAAACCTTAGCTTCCACTTGTCTGCTATTCTTTCCTTATTGCTAATCTGGTTGCTCTGATCTCATTTGTATAGAACTCTGTGAGAGAATCAGATTTTCAATAATAAAAGTATAGTATAATTTAACCAAACTTTATGACTACAGGAAGTCTTGACTGACTATAGCAGGGGTATCAAACTGGATTTCTTCCTACAGCCCATTTTTGGTCTCTACAGCTTCCTGCAGCACTCTGCTGGCTGAAAATGTGTCGTGGGGGCCTTCATGTATTCCCCCCATGGCCCATTTTGGCCGGCAGAGGAACCGTGGGCTGGTCCTCTGATATTTCTAGGATGGCCCTGCAGGCAAGATCTAAGCACCCCGCAGTCTGCATCCAGCCCATAGGCCTTGAGTTTGACACTCCTGGACTATAGTCTTTATGATTAAAGAAAAGTCTGGAATATATGAAGAATAGTTGCAGGAACTGAGTATATCTAAGTCTAGTGAAAAAAGGACTAAGGGAGATATGATGGTAGTGTTGCAGTATTTGAGGTGCTGCCATAAAAATAAGGGGTTAGTAACTATTTTCCAAAGCACCAAAAGGCAAGACAAAAACCAATGGATAGAAACTAATCAAGGAGACAAGCAACCTAGAACTAAGGAGAAATTTCCTAATGGTGAGAACAATCAACCAGTGAATGGCTTGCATTTAGAAGTTGTGAGTGCCCCATCACTGGAGGCTTTTAAGAAGCGACTGGGGAACTATTTGTCTAAAATGGTATAGACTTTTCTATTTGAACAGGGGGTGGTACTAGATGACTTCCAAGGTCCCTTCCAACTCTGTTATTCTATGTAGTTCTATGAATTAAACTTTAGCACCCTCTTTTTCTATTCAATTTCTGTCTGATGCTCTGGTAATTGTGGACATAATGAGGGTCTGGATTTGGCTAAACAGACTGAGTTTCCAAAAGATGCTTTTTCAAGAGGAAAGTGGACTTTCTGGTTTTTCTTTGAATGCATTTGGCTTCTCATCCAAGAAGCTTCTTCAGCTCATCCAAGAAGCTTCTTCAGCAAGAAGAATTTTATTACTCAGATTTGTACATTTCTGTATTAAGAATACTCATAAAGGCATTTAACATGCCATAGTTAATCAGTTCATAAATGTTACCAGCAGGCACTTATCTGAAGGTTAAACTATTGCACACATCTGTCAAACTCCTGGCCTGTGGCCTGGAATGCATCACACCCTAGCTACGCCCGGTTTAACGAAGGGGAAATATCCCAATACATCATGTGACGCCACTGTTACACTGTGAATTTGACACCCCTGCTATTGCAGTATACTTTTTATAGGGTAGCTCTTTAAAGGACTGACATGTAATAGAAACTGCCAGATAAAGCTACTTGGGCTTTAGATTGGAGTTCCAGCGGCTGCATCGTTTTCTGAGCAGACTGTAAAGTACTGTTTTTGATCAATAAAACCCTGGATTTTTATGGATCTGGAAAATTGATTTCCCATGGTTCCTAACAACTATCTTTGTTATAGCTGTTTTCCCTTTTGCATGGCTAACCCTCAATTCTAACAGTGAAGTCTTATAAGCCAATACTCTCAATGGCTGTTTGAAATGGTTTGGTTTAGAAGCATTGTTCTGTTCTGCAAGGCCAGCCCATTGAGCCCTTGGCTTAGAGTGAAATGTTTATTTCTCTTGCAAACCTCTCAGTCATCTGTGAGAGTATTTGCAAACATTCCAAGAGGGAGCCCTCATGCCAACACAGTTTACACTGCCTGGTTTTTCTCCTAGGATTTGGAAAGCATTATGAGACTTCTAGTTTAATCAGCTCAGTAATAAAAAGAAGTGGTATTGTTCTATCTAGATTCTGTGCCATACAAAACAAAGGACATCAATGTAACATTCATGAATAGCTCAACCTGGAGTTGTGATTAAGTTCCTGAGATATGTCATCCACCATATCATTTTCAGATGCTTCATGGGCCATTGCTTTGCAAAGTTTACAGGCTACCAGAGCCTTAGCCATGGCTTCCTCTCCATGTTGCCAGAAGAAAAGAGCCATCTTTTGGCGCTTCATCAGCACAGCCCATACCATCAGTTCATGGAAGGGGAAAGGGAAATGGTTAATCTCAGGGTCATCTAGGTCTATATCCACTTCCTCTTCTCGTTTCTTAGTGGTCTTTCTTCCCCTCCGTAGTGGAACATCATCCTGATGAGCATAGAAAGATATTGTTAGTCTAAAGGTAACTTTAGGACTATAACACCATTCTTAAAAAGACATTGAACTTCTTTCTTTTCTATAGTTGCACAGGAGCTTACCTGGATCTAATTATTCAGAAAGATCTCTCTCTCTCTGTCTCTCTTTCTCTTTCCCTCCTTGCAATAGCTTTCAAAACTGTATAAATTACCCTTAATTTATTTAACAGCAATAATTTAGAGATATACAGTACTTAACAATCACCAATTAAGCATTCCAAAAATACTTGTCTGGTATGCCCTGTGCTGATTTAATTCTCCTGGGAAAATCACTTTCAACATCCTCATGCATTTTCATCTAAATATAGAAATATTAATAATATTTATTTCAGAATTAGTTTTCTGATCATTTTTGAAGAGGTGTTTCCCCCCACAAGAAAGCTTGTAATAATATTATAATTTTCTATACTGACTCTTACCTAATACTTCTAACGTTTATGGTTGTTTCCAAATACAGATATTTTAATGCATTATTCATTAAAACTGTGAAATTTTATTAGAAGTCTTCCCTGCCTCTTTTCCATAGTTATACATATGAATATGTGGACAGTGTGAGAGATTAAAATGGACTTTCTTCATGAACTATCTTGAAAACATGTATTATTTTCCTGCCAGGATCTAAAGATACATTTTAGGTATGCCTGATCCTCTAGGCATGTTCAGTGGGATGTTTGATTTCTTTTCCATCATTTCTTCCTTCCTTTTCTTCTTGTTCTGCTTCCCTCCTCTATGGTGGGAAAAGAAGCTCCATTTGAAATCTTAAATTGCAAATGTTCTTGAATACATGGTAGCTGTTACTGGATTTTTAAAAATCATGTAAGTCATGTGTTCACATGAATTCACAGTCCTGAATATATTTTGTTCTGCTGTAAAAGTTTCTAAAATGTCATTAAAATGAGTGACCTGCCACCTACCTCCATTCCCAGAAGTTTTAAGGCCTTGGGCTGTGGATAAAAAAAGAAAAGAATAATTCTATATATAACTTTTCAAAAAGCACAGGGACTAATAAAACCTATCCTGTTCATTCATCATTTTTGGATTCAGCATACATACTTTGCAACCTTCTTGATGTTAGTGCAATCACTTTCTACTATTTAACTGTTTTTCATATCCCTATTGTTTCTGAAAGATCTGTATTATTGCACAAAAATTCCAAAGTTCTTTAAAGAAAAGTAAACTTTCCTTTAATAATGTGGATTCTTAAGTCCCCCCTCCCCGGCACCCAGATTTATTTAAGCATTTTAAACTTTTGGAGAAAAAAATCAGATGTTGTTCCCTCAACTCCCCAGAAAATCCTGAAAGGATATTCTAAGTTTTCTATATGTTAGGAATTGGATAAAATGTCAGTAACATCCTTTTCCACTTTGTCTCAGGCTGAGCAATATCTTGCATCTAATGCTTAGCCCCTTGCATCTCTTCAGCATTTTGCAGCTATAATTAAAGTTTGTTGGATGCACCTGTAACTGAAAAGAGGCATTCAGGTACAAGCCCAGTTGCAGTAGGACAGGGGTGTCAAACTTGCATTGTCACGGCGGCATCACATGACGGATCACGACTTTCTCCCCCTTTGCTAAACAGGGCATGGGCGTGGTCAGTGTGTGACGCATCTGGCCCGTGGGCCGTGAATTTGACAGCCCTGCTGTAGTGGGGTGGGATGATATTATTGATTAATATCTCCGCATTTGTAAAGTGTCATAATGTTATGTGTTTCAATTACTTTAATTTTAAAAAGAGGTGATTGGACATATTTTAGAGCAGAGAATGATTTCTTTCAATTGCCATTTTATTTTCTTAGATGTTTATGAAATAGATATATGTTGGGCTAGGGCCAGAATTCAGTAGTTCATAATTATTTACTGTGAGAAATGCACTGGAAAATGAAAGGAAAGAATGATAATATCCCATTGTTTTTATCCAGGACGAAACAGACTTGAGGATGGAGTGGGAAAGCTGGCAGAAATCTGGGACTAATTAGCCTAAGAGCTATATCAATCCTTTGAGGGAGTCCAGGGCAGGAAACAGACAGCATAGGAACTACTGTAACTCTGCTTTATAGGAGATAAAGGAGAAACTTAAAGCCTACTAAATTTTCCCTCCCTATTACACCCAAAAAACTCAAGGCAGATCATCTTTGAGTTTATTTCTCACTTCCTCCTCCCATTCCTGGGAATTTATTCCTCCTATGCCTAAAGTGATGTTTTCACAGTGATTGGTGCATATTGTCTCAAGGTTATTTTTGCACTCCTCTGAGGCTATTTTATGAAAAGAATAGAGGAAGCAGGGACAAGGAACAAGCTGAGGGATTTCTTGACATGAGAGGTGGAGCACGGAAGAACTGAATTTGAATCTCAGATCAGCCTACTTCACAGGGTTGTTGTTATGGAGAAAAACACATGTATACTTGTGTTCCTGAGTGAAAGGAGATATATCAATCAACACACAAATAAAGAGAGGACAGGAAATAAATATATTTTTGTCACAGACTGTGTTTTTGGTATGTACTATGGGTTTAGAATGAAACAGCGTATGTAACAGAAGTAAATAATTTAGGTGTATGTGAGAGCAGGGAAGTAGATGATGACTTTAGAATCTAAAGGTTTAGAATTTAGGAAAGGAATGACCTTTGAGTAAGTTTATTCAAAGGAAGGAATTTGTTTACAGAATGAGTTCAGAACACACCATTTTCTTGTACTGAAGTAACTGGCTCAGCCCAGAATCATTATACAGAAGTGCCTGTAACAGTTTTTCAAAGTTCAAGATGTATCCAAAGGCCTAGTAATGTTATGTAACTAAGTCACCTTTGACCTGATCACCTGTCAAACCAACTTCTTAAATTTACTTTTTATGAAATAGGTTAAAAAAACTTAATAATAACAATCCTTACTCTCTTGGGGCCAAATAAGTTGTGATAGAGTGTTCTGAAGCGTTTTCGAGTATAATTACAGCGATAAGCTCCTCCCATCAGGTACTCAATCACCAGGCCAATATCAATTAGACTTATCCTATAGTCTGGTGGTAGGTTTCCCTATTTTTTTCCAATAGAATAAAAGAGACACAAAACAAGGGAGGGGGGAAGATACAACTGATTATTAAGTCTATTGCACACATTTTTTTCTATAATTATGAGAGTTTTAAATGAAACATAAGAAAACATTATTATGCTTATTAATTAATTCACCTTAAAATAGATCCAACCGAAACCTGGATATTCGCGCTTGGAAAAAAGACATAAGTTAAGTAAGAAAATGTGTTAAAAGATAGTTGCAACAGAAGATAATAAGTTTCAGAACAGCATTTAGGCTATTCTGAGAAGAAAAACAGGATACACTACTGCAGAACAAGAAAAGCATGAAGGCAAAGCATTTTACAGAAACTCTATGTATTTGCTGGAACCTGGTGGTGTCCCAAATAACCCATACAACAGTCTGATATTCTGAGGAATATATTTATGCTCTGGCAAATGTCTTGTGGTTGGGCATTTTCTATCACACTTCTAAGAATGTCTTTTCCAAACTTTGTCCTGGAACAGGAAGGCAACTTTATCATAAACAGATGCTGAATGCTTTAATCACAAGTTTTGCTCTTTTGCTGAATATTAAATAGTTATTAATATTAATTAATTGATATTAAATAAATATTAAACACTGAATATTAAATATTTAGCAGAAGTCTCCTTCTTGTGATTCTTTAATTAATACTATCACTTTTATTCCCTAAAACACCAAAACTGTACCTTCATACATATGGCTGACAATTAAAAAGTGAAAAATTCTTATAGCTACCCGCCTGCACAAATGAAAATTCTTTCACTTGAAGTTTTGGTTACTGATTTTTTTGCTATGTGGTCCTGCATCTTCCAAAAAGGAAATACATTTGTCTGTAATGATAGTGAAATAATATCTGATATCTAGGAAAAGTGTGTGCAGAAGAATGTATTTTCACTTTTTAGAGACAAATCTATATGACAGTGAATTTGTCCTCAATTTTTGGGGGAGATTCCAATGTGTTCTCATTTAAATAAAAGTTGATTTTAGTTATATTTACTTATTTTCATACACCATCTATCATTTAGTGCCAAAATTCATCTGTTACCTCATTACTTAGCACTGAGTGGGCCAAATAATGAATTTACCTCATAAGCCATTTCTCAGATCTTGCTCCACTGACTTTCAATTCTCCTAATATCAAAAAGGACATGTTTCTATGTTATTACTGCAATGCAAAAACAGTTTACAACCCACCCACCCCCATGTATAGAAAGCATAGGCCTATTGCTGTATATACAAAATCTTGCACTTGCTTATTTGTCCTATCTAAATAAATATATTGCTTTAAGAATGATAGTATAGTTGATGTAGCCCGCACTTTATATGCCTAGTAAATAAACACAAAATGCCATTTTGAGATTATTACTGTAATCATGCCTATATTACCGTCTAGGATTTATATTATGAGCTATTAATCTTAGTGGTTCTAAAGACTTTTGAGCAGATCAAATTTATATAATCTCGTCTATTGCCAACTAAAATAATATGAACATAAAACAAAGTTTTTGATTCCAAATATTTTAAATAATTATACAATCTATTGATATTTTTACTAAATTTTATTCTACTCAGGTATCAATCTGCTAAAACTGAGAATCTTTATTCTGATTTTTTTCTAGATTAGAAGGCATCCAAATCTATTCGAATAATGTCTGAATACCCAATAAAAGTGAAATATTTCTATGATACTTTTTATGACTCAGATTGTAAGTCATAGTTTTGTTTCTTCTAGACAAAGCCAAGAATAATTCCTTCTTCTAAAAGCTTTCAAAGTATAGCCTGATTATGTTGATTGTAATAACATTTCATTATTTAAGAACGTACTGCTTGTTTGAAAAGCAATTTATAATCAAATGGCTCTCTCCTTTTAAATTGACATGCTTAGGACTAAAGAATAAATTGTTAGAAATACAGAAAGTGACACCTTTTCTACAGATGCTTAATTTTGAGTATCATCATAATGCATAGATACAGCTTACTGGTCATAAATTACTCAGAAAGGTATCTTACTAAATGTATACCTAGTAAGAGAGAGGCAAAAAAAAGGGTAGAAATGTTTATTATATGAACATTAGAGGGCACTCTTTAGCCATCAAAGTTCCCAAAGTGTGTCATTTTCCTTTTGTTATTTGAGTAATTATTAAACATCAAATTTGGCAAAAAATGTAGTCATTATAGGTCAAACTTTTCTGACTAATGACCTTGATATTCAAATATAGGAGAAATGGCCTTTATTAACCAAATAAAAGAGGTGAAAGGGCCATATTGTCCATTCTTTTCCATAACTCATTAGAGCATGCATTTGTTTAAAACTGGAATTCAAGAGTTATCCATGATCTTTCATTGTTATCACTTTTAAAGTCTTTTAATATAAGGAAAAGTGCAAAATTTTGCCATTTTTGCTAACTTCCCTTTCCTTGCATGCAAACAAAATTATTTTTATGGTTACTTGAATGGTGTTCTCTTTGCATCCTTTACAATTAGAAAGAAACAATTTTCCTTAACATAATTGGGGCAATCACTATCTCCAATATTAGGTTCTGCTCACACTGCACTATTATAGTATTGAAAAAACTGGATTTTGTTGCTTAAATATATAACTGCTACATACACAAGAGCTTTTTTTGGAATTTTTCATATGCAACTTTAAATGTGCTCACATTCTGAGAGCACATTTATATTTAGCTGTTTAATTTTCTTTTTTTAAAAGATTTTTTTAAATTTTTGAATAAACACAAAATGACACAACATGCAACTCCCCCCACAAAACCATCTTCCATTACAAATTGTAGAAAGTGTGTCGATTGGTTACAAAAACTTCTGTGCATCCCCTTCCACAGTCATCACCTACAAT